TCAACCGACGCCCAGGCGCCGCTGCCGCGGACCGGGAAGCCCCTCGCGCCTTCTCACCTCCATGTTTGCTTTAGGGGGACCCCAGACCTCCCCCTCGGCCTCCCGCCACAGCCCCCCAGTGCCCCCCACACCCCGCGTCCTGGGTAGCAGGGTCCCTCGCTGGGCCCTTGCTCTGGAAAGCATCTGCGGGTGACACAGAGCATGAACATCTTTTCGTAAGCCCTTTGAGTGAGCAAGAGCCACAGCGCTGCCATGTGTGCTTTGTGTCTTAAACTAAGTCGTCGCTCGCAATGTAACGAAGAGGAGGGTCGAGGCATCTCGGAGGCTGCATTGGTGTCCTTGAGGAATAGAATTAGACGTGGGAGATATGGCCATAAATATGAGCGTGAGCGCCAAAATGTTGTGTTGTCGTCAGGTGACGATAGCAAAACCAGAAAAGAAGAGAAAAGATACACCCGTTCGCAGAAGGAAGTGACATCACGGGTGACCAGGCTGCAGTTTAGTGAAGTTGAAGGAATAGATGGACATAATCACGTTTTTCTGTGTGTGTGTGTGTTTAGTTTGCCATGACTAAAATGGCAAGAACATTGGGCCAGGGGTTGGGGGACCTGGGGTCTCATCTGGGCTTATCATTTTAACTGTCTGAATATCCATTTCTGCAGTTATAAAATTATCATCTCTAGGATTCTTTCCACCACTTACACAACCTCAGATTTCAGGTGGAAAAAAAAACAGTCTTATTCAGGTTCCATTAGGCTCCGCAGATAACTTTCTCCACATCCAGACTGTAGGTTTTGTCCTTAGATAAGGTAAAGTTTTCATAGTAGACTAACCGGTTATCTTTCGTGCTATAGTGCCATACAGCTTAAAGGGGTAAGATTTGTGACTTGAGCCCTTGAGGGAATCCCTGAATGTATTTGTTGAGTAGGAAATAAACAGCGATAGGACCATGTTTATACATGGTCAAAAGTGAATTAAAGGTTATCACCAGTTGGTCATTTCCTTGTAACACAATGGCTTTCTGTAACCTTACCTTTGAAAACTATTCTCAGTCAAAAAGAAAGTATTCTTAAAATTTCATTAACAGATTGCTTGCATAGCTTGGTCACCTGTAGTAATTTCGAAACAAAAGTGCTGCAGAAATGGTCCTAGTTGTATATCTAATTGTACCTAAAATTCCTAGAAGTTATAATTTCAAACCAAGGCAAAATGGAAAATAAAATGAGAAAATCAGTTATGTTAGATAAGATACAGTAAATACAGGAAAGAAAAACCTATGTTCATATTTAACTTCCTTAAAAAAAGACCTAAGTCTTTTTTTTTTTTTAAGTGTATTATTTCATAGTCAGTGGCATGTTGGCAGTTTCCAAGGAAAGGGAAATGTTAGACAAAGAAGAAAAAGATATTCGAGTCCCTACTCTGGTACAGTGCTGTGTGCTTCACATGTATAGTCATTTTAATCCCAATTCTATGAGACATTTCCCCATTTTACACCTAGCTATAGCTTTGTAGATGATGATGCTATAAAATACTAACTGGAAAAAAAAATCCTACTCATTCAGATTTCAAATACTATCACTTGTTGTGAAGGCCATTCCCATGGGGATTCTGTATGACCCTCCAAGAATTCAACTTTAGGAGGAAAAATATGAGGGAGGCAGATTTCAGCTTTCTAAGAGTCAGAGCTGGAATGGAGAAGTGACTGCCCTGCTGTAGGGAAGACATCTGGTCCTTGCCGCCCCTTGTGTGGAATGTGGGCCAAGAGGATTCACATGTCTTGTAAAGGGTCAGGTTGAAATCAGCTTTTAGCTGGGCTTCCTGTTCTGGGACCTCAGGCGTGGTCTGTAATCTAAGTTTCAGTTTACCAGTCTAAAATAGAGATAATTCTCACCAGACAGATTTAGTATATGTAAAAGCACCCAGCAGTGGTACTTGAATATTTCTACCTTTTCCTTTTGAATTTCTAACTTTTCCTCTGTATCATTACACGTTTTTAAATTTTCAGCTCTTCAGTAGATTTTTTTCAACATATTACCATGTAAAATTTTAAATAGAAAAGTGAAAAGAATTGTACAGTGACCACCTGTATATCTACCACCTAGATTCTATAATTAACATTTTACTTGCCCTGTCACATATTTATTCATATATCACTATATCTGTACAGCAGTCAATCTTGTTTTAATGCATTTCTAAGTAAGTTGCAGACATCACTATAATTTACTCCTTGACACTTCAGCACGCATATCATTAACTAGAGGTCAATATTTTTTCCTTTTGAGATAAGATTTACATGGACTGAAACACACCTCAAATGTACCATTCAGTGAGTTTGACAAATGTATGCACTGGTATAACAAACCCCTACCAAGATGTAGAACAGTACCAGTACCTGTGAAAGTCCATTTATGTCTCTTCCTAGTTGATTTCTGTTCTGCTCTCTGTTCAGATGTGTTATTTTAACATTAAATAGCAGCTAGGTGTTTCGAATGGAGTATGCTTTATTGTCTGTGACTTTCAAAATTAGAAGTTCATTTATGCCTAAATATTAACTAGCTTAGTACTGAAAAAATATGCTGAAACAAGAGTCTCCGAACCCGTTTGATTGTGTAGCCTCTTGGTTAAAAAACTTTGAGACTGCATCCCAAATATGTGTAAATTTACTTTAAAATTATATATACTTGTACTTTGTACTAATATGCACATTATAAAAACAAAAACTAAAAGGAATGACATGGTATAAACAGTATTTTATGTTTTAAAATTCTTTTTGGCAAAATATTACTAAAATAATTGGTCTGTATTTTTCAAACTATTAATTTCTAGAATATTTTTTGCCTGCTTCTTGTGATATCTGACTTAGGCGGTCACAGATTTTATCTTCTAAAGATAACTTTTATAATAGAACTGTCACCTCGGCCATTTCCTTGTTTGCTTCTACTTACATTATTAGAATTGTATTTGTAGGTTTCCTTTTAGCTACTTACTTATTTGGCAAGAGTTCAGTTAAAAGTAGATAGTCCATAATTCTCAGC